CAACCTGGAGATGAACCTGTCCATCAGAGGAGGCAGAGGGACTGGACCCGGTCACATGGCCAGGAACACTGTTACTACTCCCACTGAGTGTGCTCCAGCGTCGTCTGTGAAGGTGGAAATGATTCCTTTTTCCATTGTTTCTTTTTTGTTTTGTTTTTTAGATCAAATATTTTTAAAGCAAAAAAAGAAATACAATGAGAGCATGATTTTTTGATAAGGGCTGTTTTGGAGGAACTGGTCCTCAAGACACTATATTCAGCACTAATAACTAATAACAGCAGCTCTGAATGTTATTCAATTTAATACAGTTGTTAGATGTTTAGCAATAGTTCAGAAGCTTCAGTAGAAAAATGTTTTCTTTCTGAGAAAAAAAAGACAGAAGTGATAAATACCTGGAAGCTGGACGTCGTCTGCTTGTGTCTTTAGTTGCAGCGATGGCCAACGATGTGCTCAAACTGCGACGGATTGTTCCTACAAAACAAAACAGTCAACAGAAAAAAATTGAGGAATGTATATACAGTCGTTGTTAACAGAAGTTTTTGCATTCAGAGAATTCAAAGATGAATAAAACCAAAAACAGCTAAGACAGTGATTGAAGTCTCACCACCTAGAGGACGACTGAGACGAGAGGAAGACAGCTCTGAGAGACAATCGACAGATCCATGGATCCTGTGAACCAAGGAAACAGAGATCTAATATTTACCGACGCCTCTGCCTTTGGTATTCTACAGGAGGAGGTGGAAAACCACTACCAATTACCAACACAGTTTAGGAAAAAAATAGCATTGATTTATAATAAGTGAGCAACAGAAACATATTTAAAACCAATGCCAATCATTTTTATTAAAAAAATATTTTTTTTAAATCAATTTCTTTATGTATTTTTGACATTTTCTTCATAAAGTTCATTATGAAAAATGTGAGAAATCTGCTTTTGACATCCTTCTGACTTACAGATATATTTGGTTTATTGTCCTGTTAGAGCTAAGATACATCGACATACTATATATTTACTTTTGGAAATATATGTAAAAATATATGTACAAATATGTGTAAAATTATGAGACTTAAATAATTGATGAATACACACCAGACACATACAAGAAAAAGAAACAAACTAGACAAAATATAACCATTTTGACTGGAGTTCAACTACAGATGCGTAAAGATACAGCTGCATGTTCTCTATAATATTGTTGTGGTTAATAAAAACAAAGACAAGTTTGAAATTGACAGTAGAGTCAATCGTCTGCAACTCTGTTTTTCCTGTACTTTAATGACGTGTCAAGTATTGAAGGCTTCAGTTTGCCCAGACTTGATTATAGCCCATCTGAGAGATTGCAGAGAGAGTAATTAGATGTCAGAAGATGACCGCATTTGAGACGAGGGCGTCTCTCAAACAGAGCATTCAGCAGCTTCTTACATGAAACACAAACTCCACCATAATTGATGTGGCTATGTGCAGAATTTGTTGAGTTACGAACACAATACTAAGCCCTAAATTTGTGTGTGAGCCATGTTAGGCTTGGTCATAGTGCAAAATCCGTAACAACTGAATTATTCTAGCTATGTTTTCATTTCTTCAATCGTTTCTATTTTGCCTTAGAACTTTAAATACTGGCCTGAAAGCTATAGATGGCAGTATGAATTTCATGTTATCAATATATCTACTCACACAAGTTTTACCAGTTCTGGGGGCTGTTTGTGGCACATTGGGTGACAAATATGTCAACACACAACTGGTGCCTCAGAAAAGCTATTTATTACCAAAAGATGAACTAATTACGCCAATAAAAGAAAACCTCAGGCTAAATGGAATACCGTCAAATTTTCTAAAACAAAAGCTAGGATTCTCATAAATGTGCTTGGTTAATACATGTTTATTTGTTTCTGTGGCTGACTAAGAGATGAAGGCAACTCAAAACTAAAGACTACTGGAAAATAAAGGAAGGCCTTTACCTCTGAACATGGGATGGAGGAGCAAAGATGCCGTGTTTTGGTGGACAGCTGAAGTACCTCACTCCTCCCACTGATCCATCGTTCTTACCACTGGGCTTGTCTAATTCAATTCCCAACCACAGCCCTGAGCAGAAAGAGACAGTTGGGAAACTAAGTCCAGAGAGCACTATCAGACCATGATCAAACACGTGGTAATCAAAATGCAGCTAAAAGAAAACATTTAGATGTTGTAACTGTGTTTTAGCTATGTTAGCAATACAGTTACCAATAAATAAAATGAGCAATGACGCTAGTATAACAGATAACTGATGCAGTTATTAATCGCAATGGCTCGATACAACTTTTTCATGTCCGATACTGCAACTTGGGTGTCTGCCGATACTGATATCGATCCGATAACTTCTTTCCTCCTCCAGAATACATTTACAGTTAATTTTGTTTTTTTAATTTTAGCTCTCAAAAACAACACAGATTTTACCAACCTACCTGGAGCAAAGCTGGTTTTACCACAGAACTGGACCACTCCAGTTCTCTGGCCGACCACGAGCACCCTCTCTCCCAGATGCACCCCAGGGCCCTCACACATAGAGGCACAAGAGGTTGGTTGAGAACCTAAAAAGGATGAATGTAGTCTTTGACGTCTCTTCTCTTCTTTAATAAATCAAATTAGCAAAATAAATAAATAGACAGGTTAATCTTTCAAAGTCTTTGGGGGCTACAGACCAGCAAAGGGAGTCACGGTGGAAGAAGGAAGAGAATGATGAGCTGGTGAAGGTGTCTTCCTGGAACTCAAGGAAGAACGTTCCCTTCTTTGCCGAGCAGGAGCGCGTTGCCTTGGCAAGAGACGAGGTCTTGGCCCCGGGTGAGAGTCAAGTGATGAGGATGATGAGGAAAGAGAGCGAGACACACCTATGATAAGGAGGACACAGCAAGAACAGACAAACAATACATGAAGTTGGTTTTAAAATCCAGAGACTGAAAATCTATTCTAATAATGTAAAGATGGGAATTTTGTCAGGTTAAAAGCTCACATCGGTCACCTAAGTGGGACGTGCAGTATCTATGGCTGGAATCTCTAAATGACAGTGAAGGCGTTCTGTACTACTAAAGCAATAAAATGTCTAAAATGCTGCTGAACATTAACCAAGCCTCTGTGCAAACTCACCTTAGATTTTTATTAGGGATGTTTGAAATAAAAACTTGGCCAATACGGATGTGTAATAAAAAAAAAGTTTTTTTTTCTTTTTCTCGGAAAGGAAAGGAAAGGAATTACTGAACTAGCAGTACGTTAAAAGTCTTTCAGCCTTTATCATACTATCTTTAAATGAGCATAAATTCAATCAAACACAAGTATGACACTAAAACAACCTTTATTGGCAATTTTTAGTTTGCTTTTAAAATGCATTCAAAGCCCTCTTAGATTGCTGGCTCATCAATGAGAAGATTTTTTTCACAACCTACATTGACCATTAAAATTATTTAAATGTTTTGACCTGATGAACAAAAACTACCAACCTTGTTACATCGAGTGTAAATGTAAAAACAATTGGAAAATAAATAAAATACAAAAGTACTATGTTGTCCCAGTTTCCCTGAAGCGAGAGAGAAAGAAGTTACGAGTGAGCCGCAGTAAAAATTATGAGTTGTTTTGGCCCACATTTATTTTATTTCCTGATGGCCAATGGCAGTTAACGAGGCACATATCGGCCAGTACTAATGTTCGTCCAATGCATCCCTAGTTTTTAGCAAAACAGATCATAGTTCTGCTCTTTTAAATATATGTATATTTTATATATATATATATATATAAATTTAAAATATGCTATGATAAATGTGACATTAAGATAAATACAAGTGTAACTGTAGAGCATCATTCTTTAGGCGCACCAATCAACAGAGTTAATTTTAAGGCAAATACACCTGAAAATGAAGGAGAGTTGTGTCCAGTACTAATCTTTTTAAGCTAATTAAATTTTAGACCTCATGAGGTTTTTATTCTCAAACCTCCTCAGGACTAGAGGTTAATTCACAGGCCAAATCATTAAAAGTAATTAATTAAATCTTGAACATTCAGTTACAGATAAATTAGAAAATAAAAATAATGTGTAGACACATTATTCCTGCAGCCATTGCCAATGGCTTCTTCGTCACACTCGGCTGACAAACTATTGAAAGCAAACAATTAAGCAATGTAAAACTGTATTTAAAAATGACTTAGTAGAAAAAAAATAATTGCCTGACAAACTTTTTTAATAGTTATACTCCATAATCAGGCTTGGCAAATAAGCAAAGAAACCAAAGATTTGGTGAAGAATCAAAACAAGAGCAAAGAGCAAGAGCACCAATCATTAACAAACTTCAATTTCAATTTTGTGTATTGATATAAATACTTTTACAACATTATTTATTTTTTGTCAACACCAAACACACACAACAAATTTAAATGGAGTTCAGACATTAAAAGAACTCTCACAACAACATCTCTAGAAGCATGAAAATAGAGGAAGAATATACAAATAGTCAATACTGTATAATACTCAAATCATTATAAAAAAACCAAAGCACAACATAAAAATTATAGAAAGCAAGGATGGCTCGATACAACTTTTTGATATCCCATACCAATACTAATAGTGCAACTTGGAGTTGAACCGATATCAATCCGATACCTTCTTTTTTCCTCCAGCAAGCCACAGGCTGCTGTTGCTGAGGTGATAGATTCCCTGTTTAATCCTGGGACCAGTACTGATCCTGAGTATCGTATTGAGCCATTCCTAATAGAAAAAATAATAGAACCAACACTGAGCAGGCACCATGGTGACAATGACGAGTGAGAAAATTAAACTAGCTTCAAACAAAAAGAAAACCCAGGCAGATGCAGACTGAGTGTGTAGCTGTTTGCCTCAGACAGGGGACTTGAACAAAAGAGAAGGTGTGATCAGGAAATGGTGGTGTACAGGAGTGATTCTAACCACTGGTCCTTGGCACATTAGTCTCATGAGAGATCGTCTGGTACTGTGGATAATTAGCCAACTAACTGCAAATAATTTGTTTTTTGTTCGTATATGTGACAGTGACAAGAGAACAAATACACTCTTCCACCTGAACGGAGCAGATGACTAAAATATAAAAACAGAGACTCAGCGCTTTGGAAGATCTTTGTGTTTGTCTTTCATAAATTCGTGCGAGTATGTCTGCATCACGTTTAACTAAACAGGTGCATTTATTGAGATATTTTTGTTTGGTGCTGCGCCATGTGATTTCAAAACAAAATTGGTGTTGTCCAACTATTACAATTTATCTCTTGTCAAACTCTGTTACTTTCTGCCCCTGCGTCTGACTCACTGACAGATGCCATGATTAAAACATATCCTGTGTTGTGTACTTCAGTAATAATGTTTTGTTTTTAATCAGTGTAAATTATGTTACATTACGTTTTATCTCGTTAATTTCCCATTGGTTAACATTTAAAAAATATATAATACTAGCTTGGTGTTTATTGATTGCAATGTCAGTGCATATTTAAAGGCAAATAGCAAACAGTCCTTTCATATACTGTCGTGAACATCTCTTTAAAATGTCAAACGATCCTTGTCAGTTGACCTTTAGCTGGCCGGGACTTGCCAAGACAATTTTTCTCTTCCAAATATTGATGGTCACATGAAATGACACCTCAGGCATCTGTGCTTTTTAGTCCCTGTCAGTGGTCCTGCTGTGCTTTATGGTACACACTACAGTGGGCACACTATAATAGGGTATTTACATAGCCAAGAACATAGTCCAAAACAGTGACCTAGAATTATGCTAAACAATAACTTTGAGAATTTATAATGTATAATAGGTTAGAAAGGCTATAAAAAGTGTTATTTCATAAATTTATTTTGTTCTCAGATTGTATGCTGTGTCAACCCATGGCCTTCACATGAAATGTAAGTGATGAATGATGTCCGGGAAATTCAGCCATCAATTCTCTAGTTATTAAACCCTGTTTAATTGTACAATCAATCAACAAATCCCACTAGCAACTGAAGGATCTGTTATTCTGGTCACATCCACATGAACTGGCCTTTAAAAGATTTTGATATTGCTCTTCATCAAAAATGCTATAAACCACAGTGAGTGCAAAAACCAAAGAAATATACTAAGGCAAAGTTCCTCCATGTTTTTAACGGCATATGAATATATTGTGAAACAGATGAGTGGAGAGTCCTTGCCAGAACCATTTTTGGCACTGGCACTAGTCCCCTTTAAGGGCATTCCCATGAGATTAATATTTAAGCCTTAAAGCAGTCACGCTACGTAAACTAAGCCAGTTGAAGAAAAGCCATGTTTGGTAATAACAATAGGCAGTTGTTCTGAGCCATGTTTTATCTGATGGTTTCAAAGAATGAGTCCCTATCCGGTTTAGTGAAGCATTCATTACGTTTTTCAGAACGCTGCATTTGCTAAGGCAGTCTCATTATTCTGACCAACTGTTAAAAGGCTCAGAAAACCAACCTCGTGCCAACATTTAGATGCATGTTAGCGAGCATCCCTGCTGTCACTGAATTTCAGTCATTCACCAATCACTTTACCATACAGTAGTCTGTAGCTCTAACTCTAAGGTGAAATTTGGGAAAAAATGCTTTCCCACAGTGTGTTCAAATCAACTGTGATACACTATAAAATGACACTGGATATACAATGCAGTTCATTCGACCCTCATGGAGTAAAATGTGTTAAAACTTTTTACCTGACTAATTGCACTAGTTATCAACTTAATTAACACAGTATTTTTGACAGCCCTTATTAATACATAAAACTATTTGAAACAGAACTCCAACTGAACTTAGTCTAACATAATTAACATCAACAGAGGAGCTAATTAACAAGAAATTAGCAAATTAATGCTTTCTACATCAAGGAGACATGTAATTATAATATGTACACGATGATGATTTTGACATTTGTTGTTTACCTGTGTTTGTCTTCGAGGTGAGGCGGGACAGGTTCATGTGGTAAGGGGGTCTTCTGGGTGTCGATGTCCTTGGTGTGCTAGTTTTATGTCTTTCCAGGGGTTTGCTGATCTTCGACAGAGGTGCAAAGATACCTGTTGAAAAATTACACATATATGCTAATATATGTTGGGTTGTGATTTACAAAATAAAACCACGGCTTAATTTCCAATTTCAATGACTTTTGAGTACTGAAAACAAATGTGTCTGACACTAAGGTGCAGCTTGTACTTAATTAGCATTAGTGTTACTGTCAGTTTCACTGACAAAAATTATAACCAAACCTTTGGATTTTTATCTCATGACTGTAAGATACATTTATAAAATAAAAAGCTTCAAACTTCAAATGTTTGCTTGTATGGCAAAAAAAAGTGCAACAACATATATTTTTATTTTTGTCAGTTATTGTTGCAGTATGTGCTACTTTGACAGTATTTCAACTGTTGCATGTTTGTCATTATTGTAATTTGTTATTATTATGATTATTATGATGGTTATTATTATGTCTGTGGGTTTCGTATGACCTACCATGTTTAAATTGACAGCTAAAATAGTGGACCCCTGCTACCGAGCCATCATTTTTCCCCTCTGGTTTGTCCAGCTCCACTCCAGCCCAGAGACCTCCAGAGAAGTCCGTGTTACCACAGAATCTAAGAGTTCCAACCTTTCCACACAGACAGAAACAGAGAGTCCAGGCATATGTTAACATAGTGGCACATAAAGCAGTGTAGAGACATGCAGCAAAGGAACTGGCGAGTGACCAGAGTAATGTGTGGAGCTTTATCAGCGATAAAAATACTAATCATGGTGTCAAAGGCAAAAGTTCTGTTCATCTATTTCTTAATGTGTCTGTCCTCAGTAATAGAGAAAAAGAGGGACAAAGGGGAAATGATTAGAGCATTGAACAGAGTGCAGGGGAGGATAATAAGAGTTTTGATTAGAATCTCTACCACTTGCTACTTTGCAATTCTGTTGTGTTGCACAGCCATTGATTATGTATTCATTATTTTACAGAATAAGCCTTACTGGGTTGAAATTAATAATTCCCTATTATAGGAACGTAGTCGTCTCTGCATATATGTACTGCACTGTATATCAACAAGAAAGAAAACACACTGGTGGGGAAAGATAGAACAGATCCTTTTTCAGTTGAATAGCTGGCATCATAAATAATGCCATTCTAAAGACTTACATCGGAATTCCATTCCTATGGCAACACAAACTCGATTTGAAGTGGGAACTCAAATACTGTACATCAGTACCTATGTCACTCACCTACACTAACACAGCAGTAACATCATAATCTAGGACATAAAAACATCAGAGAGCCTGACTTACACCTGGGAGTCAGAATGAAAGAAAAACAACAACACAAACAACAGCCAATGTAGCACAATCCAATGTATGGCTTACAACTGCCGAATGTAAACAAAGGCATTTTTCGTGTAAACTGGTGTGTGCATCGTATTTGGGGCTCTGCTTGCTTAATAGTTACGAAATTTGTTTTAATGCCATACGTCAGAATGATAGAATAAGACTTTTCTGATATATTTACGGGAGACGATGTGAACAGATGCCCTCCTGTATTATTGTGTCAGTAAACTCACTACCTTCCAAACAAGATTGCATTTGTAATTTGTATGAATCATAAACCTCGAATTTAATGTAAATTTATGATGACAAAAATTATTTTGAACAAACCTGCAGGTGACCACAAAGATGAGGTTTCTGTTATTTATCAAGTGAATCAGCCACAGGCAGAGCCCAAAATTGATAATGTATTATTGTCATTTAAAAAAACTCAATGCGGATCACACCCGGAGTTGGATTTAACTGACCATGTAGCAATGAAAACTATTAAAACAAGCCTTAATGTTCATAGAATGCCAATCAAAACCTTAAATACTTCTGTTTTATTCAAAATGCCCAGCTATATTGAACCACTGATCCAACTAATAAATACATGTATCTGTATTCTCTTTAGATATGAATGCTCATGGCTGAAGCTCAACACTTTTTGCACTTACTATAGCAAATAAAAATGCTGAGTGCCCTGTAAATGCATCTGTACGATGTGAACCTGAGTGAAGATGATTTATTGATTCATGTCTGTACCATTAATTAACAGACTGCTAATACGGGCACATGGTTTAAAAAGGAAAAGTGCTGTAAGATTCCATCCCTTGTTACTCCAGGACTGGAATAAATTAAAAATCTAATAAATTCAGCTCAGATTTTTCCCTATTAATTTGGTTTATCAATTACCACCGAGCAGACACGTGTTAATGATTTTAAATGCAGCTGGGAGCCAACTGAGTGCTGCCAGGAGACGATTTAATTGTGAGTTTCTCTACTTAGTGGACATCAATTAGAATTTGCTGAATCATCAGGTCATAATTACAGCTTTAAAACCTACATCCATTGTAACAAATTGCCCTTTCCAACAACCAGTACATCTAGCTAATGAAACTAGGGGAAGATTCAGACAATTTTTATGCACATCTAAAAATGATCCCATTAGAAGAAAAATAAATATTTTATTTAGGTGATACAGCCTTCGAATAGTGGCCTACAACACACCTTCTGTCGAGCTATCATCACACGGTCACCTAGACGGATTCCCATGGTGGCAAGCTGCTTCCTGGCCTTATCAGAGAGAGGAGCAGGGGATTGGGAATGAAGAGTAAGGGCCAGAGGAGAGGTGGGTCTGGGTAAAGACTGTCTCAGCAAAGCCTTGAGCTCCTTGACCACAGTAGTTGCATCTGCCATCTCTAAAGTCATGTCAAGTGGATCAGGCACCACGTCAGCGGGACACTGTCCCTTGTCGTTCTGTAAGAGAGAGATGACAATAGAATGTTGACAAGGAAGGATTTCACTTTTATCATAAGTGTCGGTGGTCTGCTGGTCTTGAGAGAACCTTCACAATCAAACGTCATCTTGGAAGCTGATCAGAAGATAGAGTCATGACATCTTACCACTTCTGTACCCTACGGACAGCAGCATGAGTATGTTGACTTTTTAACACAAATTAAAAAAAAAAAAAATAATATCAAAGTAAGACTCGAGATAAAAATTCTTCTTTTTTGGCTCAACTAGATGAAGCAACACTTGTCCATTAAATGTGAGAATTTTGGAAACAGCTCATTAGTGTGTATAAAAATCTGTCTAAAGCTCTGAAATGGTTACAAAACAAAGATATTCATAAGTAAATTATCATAGAAAAGTGAAAATCACAGATTTATCTTTTTAAAACAAATGTCTGTTGTTTGATGTGTAGTTTTACACAATGATAATGATATGATAACACATATGAATAAGCCACAAGTTATATTAGAGAAAAACTTTGAGACTAAATCAGTATTTGAATAGTTGTAGCTAATAAACTGACAACCAAATGTCTTAGGGTTGTTGTTGTGCCTTGGGCACTGTGTAATACACTCTACTTTGTACTCTATTACCTGTCTCTTCTACACGCAAATAACGCGATCACTACAGTGAGCTTTCAAACAGATCACAGTACTAGAGGTTCAGACAACAGCCAAGGACGTCCACTGAGGCTTCCCATATGGGAGCAGCTGAAAGAAGAAGATGAAGAAGTAGCTGATGAAAGTTTACACAAATCCCTTAAAGTGAGAAATGCTGATGGCACACTGAAATTTTTCATTAAAATGAGTATAGCAAACCCTGAATTGAAAACTAACAATAGCAGAAAAGAAAACCCAAAAAGGTTTCCAAAAGATAGTAAACTTTTGAAAAAAAAATTATACAGTACAAATAACTACGAAAAAAATCTATTACCTACAGATATGTACTGTACATGTTTATCATATGCTATGATCAATGTCACAACATGCTTGTCTCTCTCTATCTATCTATCTACATCCATATATAGCATACATATAGAGTATATATAATATATAAATATATGTCAATACATATATACTACATAAGGGCGATCATACAAGGCCAAATGCACCAAATGATGCACACTGTATATCTACTGCTCATCCACTTATCATTGCTCTAACACACAGTCGATACACATGTTATTTGCACAAACTGCAAAAGACTTCATTTTACCAAAGCACCTCAAGTTTAAAATCTTAAAATGTAAACATTAGGTTTGAGGCCCAGCTTGCATCAGTCCAGTCTCACTGAGTTCAGAGCAGTAAATAAGTTGATACGCTGACACAATTGTCAAATGAATCGTGAGGGACTGTAGACTGATTAGAATTGTTAAGGACAGCTTCAACAAAGTTTTGAGTGAAACTCTCGATGCGTTCTACAAGCCACAGTCAAGATACACAGACATACCTAAAATCCACCATCTTCTCAAAATTAAAATTAAATAAAAATGTTCTTGACATTTCTCCATATAAATAATTCTTTAACTTGGATTAGTCCCAACTAAAAAGAGGTGTGAAACACATACATCTATCATCTGCTGTTACTTACAGAAGCATACAGAAAAGCCAGTTGTTTTTTCATATTAAGGAGTGTTGATTTATCTGGATTAATCATGAATACTTGTGATTAAACCACAGCCGCCCCATGACAAATCACATTAAACATTTGAATCATTTGAAGGTAAAGGACTGACTCTATATTGTTTAAATTTTAGGTTCAAACATCCATAAAAATGTTGAAATTCTCTTCTGTCTTTGCAGTGAAACAACAGAATAGAATAGCGTAGAGAACAAAACGAGACATGTTGTGGTCTACTTCAATGTGCCAGACCTATTTTATTTTTTATTTAGAGAACAGAGAGTGGTTTCATTCAAAAAAGCTGCTGCACTCCTCTCCAGACCAGGGAATTATTAAGTTATAATGCATGGGACTTTGGTGACCTCAAGTGGATGTACAGTTTCCATTCACAAACAACCTTAATGTATATTGTGTGAATGAATAAAGAGAATACCTAATGATACATATAATAATAATGACATACAGTGAGAGTGATTCTTATTCGCTTACAGCAAAAATTCACCTCTAAGTCTCTGCCCTAAAAAACTTTAAACATTTTAAAACACAGCGTTTCTATGCGGGAATGATCATTTCTCTGAATGACAACCAGGAAAAGAAATGTCAAATAGCACAAGCATATGATTTCACTAGAGGCAACTAAACTAGAACTGTGTAGCTCTTACTATGTTGTTGTTTATGACATAAACCAGCAAACTGGAGTGGACAATTAAAGCTGTTGGATCTTGCCAGGGATGGAGGAAACTACGAAAAAAAATAATTTACTAGATTTCAAAGGAGACGTTCAAGGAGTCAGCAGCAATTCTAGGATTCAGTTTTCAAGACAAAGACCCAAAACACATTTTAGTTGCTTACTGACCTCCACAATAACAGCAAACTAGTTAGAGAATGATTCTGTAAAGTCAACTGAGACTAGAAAACATAGCAAAAGGCAATAAAATCTGTGGGGGTTGAAGAGTTTTACAAGAAAGAAAAATAGGTGGGAGAAACTTCAGAAGACTCGCCTGAAACAATTGCAGCCTGAACTTAGCCAATTTGGTGCCTGCTGGCAAATGAGTGAAGGTAGGAGTCAGTCACTTACCCTGAAAGCAGGGTTGGCTCCCAGCTCCAAGAGACATTTGACAGCTGATGTGCACAGATTAGATGCAGCGATATGCAGAGCAGTTCCAAAATCAAAGTCACTGCAGGTGGCATCAACCTCTACAAACAAATAAATGAATAAAGATATGAATGAGAACAGAGTGACATTATAAAAAGCTAGATGTCTCGTTAATTAGCATCTGATAGCAACTCCTGTGACAGGCTTTTGTGCTCATCAAACGAATGCAATACTTGTTCATAGTGGATTAATTAACTAAATGGAGACTTAAAGGATGGCCTGGTTTGTTTGGGTGTCAGGCTGTTCCAGCACAACAACAGCTGAGTGCTTGTTCTTTGTAAACTAACATCTTAAAGTTACATTACGTCTGGGTGAGTGCATTGAAGATCTTGACAAAGGAGAATCTTTTGAGAATCAAGGTTACAAATAACAATAATACAATAAGATTCTACAGACATGGATTTACTCCACTAGCTTTTCAGAAATACTCTTTACGTTTTGTTTTTGTCAGAGATGACCCTGGTAGTTTTGTCTAAGTATGGAAACCAGTCAAACAATTGGTTTAGTCATTCCCATTATTTATTTATTATTTGTATTTTTTTTTTTACATGTGGTAAAAGTCTCTTAGATTTCTTTCTGATTTCCCTGCAATTGTTATGTTTAGGTCTTAAGAATGACGATATAAATACCTTTCATATGTTTTATAGATGATGTCATACAATGTAGCTGTTCTAAATGTATTGTTAATAATATGGCCCTTCTTGTCTCAAGAAGGAAAACCCTGAGCCCAGGCCAACCGAGCCATTCAATCCTGCCAGCAACTAGATTCCTACTTAAACATCAAATAACAATGTTAGACTAAAATGGGATTTTTATGTAATTTTATTTGAGTGTCCAGCTCCCAAAGTGTCTCTACAGAAATGTTCTGGTCCTGCCTTAGACCCCTATTTGTTTAAACCAGAACTAAATTTTCAGGCCAAATTATTAAGAATGAATCAAAGTCTAATTAACAGGTTTTTTTTATTTTTTTTTTACTTTTTACCTTTTTAGTTTGTATGTCTACTGTGGTTAGCCCATGAAATTAACCACATCTCATGTAGTATTTTCCACAATATTTTCCACACTAGTTTACATTATTTTAATAAATGCAGGTAACTTAGATGCAGCACTAGAAAGTACAAGACACAATCCATATTCCTTCGAACATAAGCAAACCTAATGTATCTTTTTAGGGCAAATTAAATCATGCTGCCTAGCAAAGGTGGTATTTGTTGTTTTGTACTACATGTAATAAGGCTAGTTTCTGTTGGTTCAGTTAATAAACAGGCAACTAAGTTCATCTTTTCTGGACAATAGCCTGACATCCTAAGAATATTCTGGTTCTTCTTTCAGAATTCACCTCCAGGCAAGGAAGCCTGCAGCACCACTCTGATGAGCTGTGGCACATCAAAATAAGCAGCATAGTGAAGAGCCCTCATGTTGGTCCAACGTGAATGGAGACTTGGGTCAGCACCCAGATCAATGAGTCGACAGGCAAAGTTAGCTGCTGTGTCTGCATCGCCTGGGAAAGAGAGGGGGAAATAAACAGTAGTTTGACTGAGATAACTTACAGTATGGTCTGCTGTGGAAACTGTGTTCAACAAGTCATATTAACAACAGCACTTAGGGAGTCATAAGGTCTTGTGTTCTGGTTTGTAGAAACAAAAAACACACACAGATGGGGCAGCAGATGTGTTCCCCTCTTTTTACAGTGGAGTTGGGAGTGTTGTGACCACTAACCAATGCCTGGTGCCCCAGCCTTGCAGCAGTAATGTAGAAGGCTCATATCTGTCAGGCCATCACGATCGTTCACACCACAGCCTCTCCTGAGGATCTGTGCAGAAAAAACATCTGGTTATGTCATTTACAAATATGCACAATAAGACACATCTCAGAATCTCAGACCTTACTTTAAAAAAGAACAACACATTTCTTTAGTAAAACAGAATTTATTTCTATGTGTGCTGTAGACGTTCTTTCTTTTAGCCATAAAATAGCTTGTTATTGTTGGAGTTCCAGTAACAGCTGCTGTAGTATTAGTTTTAGCAATTGCTGAAACAATTGATTAATCAGTTATCAGTTCTTTATTTCTTTCCTTTTAGGGGAACATTGAAAATGGTTTTAATTATTTCTATAATTCTTTCACTTTCAGTGCTTCTCAAAGTGTGGGGATCTTTTTGAACTTTGTTATTTGATGCTATTGATTTTGAGTCATTATAAAATACGATTTTACTTAGTGTTAATTCAATAAATTCAAAATGTTATTTATCAAGATTTTTGGTGGGTGACAGTCTGGAAAATCGTTCCCAAGTGTGGAACGACCAAAAAAGTTTGACAACCACTGGTTTATATATAAAAGGAGAGAAGAAAGACTTTAACCATGGCAAAAAAAAATAAGTAAACTGTACAATTACCTCATTGCCAATTAGGTCAATGTTCTTCTGAACCTGGGGCACCCACTGTCTAAGAACAGCAAACAGTTCCGGTATTGTAGTGTTGGGGTCAAAGAGCACTTCTCTGCACTGACGCTCACTTGGGTCGAAGAAAGAGAACTCTGTAGGTGATGGAGAGCCATGTTCACAAACATGTAAATCAACACAACCTTTATGATACAATGGTTTACAGTAAACATCTGGAACCGACTCCCAATGCGCAGAATGGGCAGACCCTCACCATAATCAGAAGGCATCGGTGCTGAAGCCACCTGGTGGATAACCAGCCTCTGCAAGAGTTTCTTGTTGCAGCACAGAACTGTGTCCCCCTCCACGGGCTGCAAAACATCTTGCTTTGTCATCTCCCCTCAAGGCCTGAGAATAGAAGAAAGTCAAAACTTAATTTCTAAAAAGTTGGTTCAAAATGTGGTTATATAAAGTTTTTACAATAATAATTAGATTCATTAATATAGCCAATGAGATAATTTACTATTTGTTCTTTAGTAAATAAGAACATGACATGATGGGTGTATTATAAAAGTGCTGAAGCCAGGACTTAACAAGCAGGGTCCTGAAAACACTCACCAGTGGTATTAGAATATTATTTTCGTATTCATAGTAAAACATCTTAAACAATTGTCCAAGTTAGAATTTCATTTAAATAAAACTGTTTTTCATTGACCACCGATGCTGACCGTCACGTTAATAAATACGGACATAGACTTCTTTTAATGTTCAAAAAAGCAAAGTTCAAATTATTATCAAATTTTAGTAGATTTCGCTGTACATTACAGGAGATTATTGTTATAAAATCATTACAAAGTATGTTGAATAAGAAAATGAAAAATACTACACTGTCGATACATTATTAAAATAAAAGATTATAAACATCGTTCTACCACACATACACAGCAACATGTGACACTGCAGTGCTAACAGTGGCCGTTAGCATAAACTGTTTGTATTAGTTTATTAAAATATAAAGCTCACACTTTATCACTGCTGGATCTGAAGTATTAGCCTAGCGTTAGCTTGTGTTGTAACCAAATAGGTTTAGGCTCAACGTGACTGAGGTACAGCGGCATTTTGTGCATTTTCACTGTGACGATGTTATAATTTTAAGGTTTAAATCGTCTCTTCACAGCCTGTGGAAAGTTGCTGAGAGAAATAAGCATCTTTACACATTAGCATCCATGATAAGAACGTCTAACATAATTGTCTCAGTCAAACTAACAGGCTAAAATACACCTAAAGACCGCAGAGATAGGAACATGCCATGCCATGTCGCTAATCCCAAATAAATGCATATAATCATTACCTTGACCTTCCTGCTTGTTGCAATTCTCCCATGGGGAAACGATAGTGAAGCCTGCAGCAGATTTGTATACAACAACAGTCACATGTACATACGTGTTGCCTAAAGTACATCCGGTTAAGCCTCCGATATTACAATAAAAGCCCGTGGTTTTAAACTTCCTGTGTCCAAAAATGCCACAAGTTTACCATGAGTCTACCCTTTCGTCCTCGAGGACGCTAGCTGAACACATTCTACTGCATGTAGGCAAATGCAGGCTACACCTGGACACGTTGTCATCGTGTCACAGGCAGACATAAAAAATAAAATATAAATGTCACGATCATGTTCATCCGTAACGTCACATCAGTGTCCTATGCCTTAGGCACAATAAGCAAGCTTTTTAACTGTGGAACAGTAAACACAATCAGTGAAAACAAAAACGGTCATTACTTTTACCTACGCCATGATGCTAACTGATAACCTGCTTGCTAACAGGTAACAATTCTAAGCACACCTCCACCTGGCAGCCTTTTTAAAAGACATTTGTGTTTGTTATTTTCAAGGTTGGGATAGTTTTTAGTGTATTTTTGGAAATAATTTTAAAGAAAATATCTACAGTCTAAACCGTGTTTGCAGATCCTGAAGCTTCATATATTTTGTTCTTTTAGTTCTAGTATTTGGGGAGTTGTTACTCACATCCATATCAAGTTATATTTTAAGACACATTATAAAGTCTATTGAAGCTAGTAATATTGCTGTAAACTGACTAAAATGGTGCATTGGGTTTTTGTTTGTAAAATTTTTGCTGTGGCTCAAAAATGTTTAGGAAACACTGCCCACTCTGATGATGTGTCCCTCACTCCCAGTCATTGTCTGACTAACGTTACCTAATTCAATGCTTTCTTTATGGCTGATACATCTGGGGTGGTCTACGGCGGGTCAAGGAAAGAATAAAATGACAGTAGGGTTCATTTCTGCTTGTTAATACTTTACTTTTTCGTTTTTTAAAAACGATTCATATTCTATTTATCTTAGATGGGAGGGGAGAAGAAACTGGCTGTCCAGAAAAAATACTTCCTGTCTTCTTTCTTAGTCGGCATAGTCTGAATGGTCTTTCCAACGGAAACTGAACTTTTTAGCTCAGTAAGACGAGTAGTTTAATCTGTCAGGAAAAAAAAGTCACTGCTGTCGTCATAAACCACGTTATCCCAATTGTAGTCTATTGTTCCATTTTGTATTGAGGACATTATAATTGCTTGAAAACAGTTTCCACGGAGACGTAAACAAAACGCAGTGATTGACGCTCGGCTCAACTCTGCTTTACTCCACAGACGCAGTGATCTGCTGCTGTGTTGTCCAGTGTCCACTTCACTCACCGAGTAATCTGCTGCACTTGACTGACAATATGGACTTAAACAACGTTAGACGAGCTTCCTCTGCAGGATACCGGTTACCGGAACGATACAGCCGGGCCGCGCCTTTATTAACCCAGCCAGTCCCAGACTGGACGCGCCGGACCAGAGACCGAGACGCGGTGTCCTCGGAACAGACTCCAGTCACGAGTGATCCAGTTAAACAAGACACACTGTGGAAAGAACTGGTTTGGAGTGAGAGAAGAGGATTACAAGAATGGTGAGAAAGATTCAAGAAAACAGGCACCATTATTAAACAATACAAACTGTTTGTTTGTGATTTAGCCCTTGTTATTCTTACAGGGAGAAGAACTGGAACTTTCTTACGAGCTACGATGAAATGGTATGATAATTTTGAATTTTACCTCATTCTTAATGTCTCAATTACAGGTTTTACATGAACATTTATTGTCATAATAGATGAACATAATGCCACATCATCTTCAGACTAAAAGAATAACGAGTTGTGGGGGTTCAAAATTAAAAAGTAGAACCCATACTACTATATGCATATATTGGACTCGTACAGATTGCTCACGTGTGATGTTGTTCAGTACAAACTATTACACCATTGATGGCTGTACAGTCCAAGGAAAAGCATGTTAGCATGCTGATGGTTTTGGCACTTAGCATTTTTGACAAAAGCAGATTATTCAGCTTATATCTGAAAAAATGATTTCTGATGCATCCCAAATAATGTTGAGTATTGAGTAATAAGGGGAACCACCCGCAGGAAGGTTTAGGGGGGTTAGTACGGTGCAGTGTGATTTGGGTGGCGGTCATGGAGACTGCTGCCCCCGCGACCCGGTAACGGATGAAAATGGATGGATGGATGGATGTTTTAATGTTGAGTTCTCTACAAACATCTGACGGTGTTGTGACCCCATTGTGTTCACAGGGGCAACTGAAGACTGAAGAGCCTCTACCTGGCTATGTTCCACTCTTTTCTGACCGTGTTCCCAACACAACCAACCAGGTATTTGGCAGCAGACTGTCCACTCCACTGGGTAGTGAGCTGGTCAAACTGGATAGGCTACTACTCTGGTCGCGAAGCCAATACAAGTGCAAGCAGGCTGCAGATATGCTGCCCTACTAAACAGCTCTGGTGATCAATCATCTACTGCACCCATAATGTATGCATGTTTAACATTATTGAGAATGATTGAACTTACTGATAACCTACATGGCAAAAAATCATGTTGATGTCAATGTTCATCAATGTTTAACAATGTAGAGTGTTATTGTTAAACATATTTATTTTGTATTGTTTCTGTTGTTTTAAAATATCAACAGACAACTACTACCAATCTCAAAATCTGCCGTAAAGAGACAGTTGAGAAGAGTAGTTGTCATTGGCAACATCCATGCCATCTGAGCTCCATCAAGAATTTAATACTAAGTAAGATACTGGATGACTTGACAAGATACCTGATCTGATTTGGATGAGCTAAAAGTTGCATCACTGCATTTCTTTGCCTAAAAGGACAGGGGAAAAAATGTGCGAAATAGACAACATGGAAAACAAAAACCACACATTTTGACCCACAAGGTCAAATATAGTGTGGAATAATTTATATTACATATGTATTAGTTTATTTAGTTTCATCTTAAATTTGATGAATCCCAAGATAGCTGCAACATATTTTATGTGATTTTTATGTAGCTTTTGTAGTCCGTCTATGTAGTCTGTGTTGGTGCTTTTGTAGCAAGTCATTTTGTGCTTTGGGAAAAATCACTGCCCCTTACATTTTGCTACATAGTCTTGATTGCTATTCCAAACTGTTTGTAGTCCGTCTATGTAGTCTGTGTTGCTGCTTTTGTAGCAAGTCATATTGTGCTTTCGGAAAAATCACTGCCCCTTACATTTTTCTTCAATTAAATATGTCTACCATAACTACCCGTGGTCTGGGGTCATCAAATTGTACTAATAGTAATATTATCATTATAGGGCTAGTAATAGTAGAGGACGTAATAGTATCACGACGTAATAGTATCACGACGTAATAGTATCAGGACGTAATAGTATCAGGACGTAATAGTAGAGGACGTAATAGTATCACATGATAGTTTGCAGGATACCTTTTTCCATGGAATCAAACCTGGAGCCTTCTGCCTGGCAGACCACTGTACCACTGTAGCGCCTCTTAGTTTAAATTCAGATTTCTTTGTACTGTGTATCTTGTGTAGAAAAAAACACAACTACCATAACTATTTCAAGCATGTCATTTTTGAAAACCATTTGGACAAAAGTTTGTCATGTCAAAATGATTAACTGTGAAAAAATGTACTGCACTGTACTAGAATGATGTTCTTTTGCTGATAACAAATGTTTTGTTTTTTCCTTACAACATTTGTTTCTATTAAAAATGTAAGGATTGTGGTACATAGTTTAAATCTCAGACAATTACAAATGAGCAACTCGGGCAATTCACATTCCCCGTTTATGTTATCTGCACATCACAGCAGAATGTAGATGTATGCGGAAGTGAAAAGGATGTTGTGTTGCTAACGAAACTAGAAATGAAAGATAGGAGAATATACTTTCAGAATAATGTGTATATTCATCTTCGGTTAAATTGTTAGATTTACATGGTTTTCTCGTCGTGTGCTCCATAAATATGTAAAAAAAATATTAGACAAATGGTGAAAAGAATAATTTATGAAAGCAGTTCAACCCCACAGCAAATTCCTTAAAATTGTACATAGTACTGTCTTTAAAACATCATAATATGTTGGAGATTTGAAGCTACATTTTATGGGCAGATATATTTGTGTACTTCACACATATAACGTCTGTACCAACAAATCTAAAGAAAACGTATTTGCTTTTACACATTTGTGCCTGACTTGTTGAACGTTAAAACTCATTTAAACGCTGCAACGCACCTACTGTACGCCCTGAATAGTACAGCTTTTACTTTGAAGATGTAAAACGGATCTTCACCTCTGAACAAGCAAGACTTGGGCGCCAGGGATAGCAGCAGCTGTAGCTGTGTTGACAGTAAACGTGTGAGCAGAGATAGTTTTAACTCCAGGAGATCCGTGTAATTTCAAGTGATCAGTGAAGGTCGAGATGATGCAGCAGGACACTTTACTACACGTGGCTAATGTCAGCACACTTTGCCTGTGCATGGTGCTGAAGTTTCCGCAAATCTTCGTGATGATGCGAGCCAAGTCCTCCAGTGGAGTCAGTCTCAGCAGTCTGCTGCTGGAGTTGAGCGGGTAAGAGTTGATACCTTTGAAAGTTTTTAAAGTCTGAGAGTAGCTAGCCTTGTATGTTGAATGTTTTTGTACGAATATTCCTCAGTAAACCGCCTACAATTACTTCCAAATTCAAATGTTTTGTTGCTGCATTCGCGTTCTTCTCATTTCTCGTTTCCTTACAACAGAGATTCACTAACTAACTAACTTTAGGTGGGGGGCGCAAACACACGACCCTCCCCCCCCCACACACACACACGTTACAATGCAAACTTTTGAATTAGTCAACACTTCAATTAAATCATATGAAATATAATTTTTTTTACTAGTCATCAGTAATTAATGGACGATAAACGAATAATACATTATCGACATTACAAGATGTCTCAACGTGAGGGTAGTTGACCATAATGAGCAATAATTGTAAATTTTGGACAAAATTTTGTCCAATTGTTTTTAAAATGTCAGCATTTTTAAAACTACTGCATAATGCTTACTACTTCTAATATTAATCATTATTATTTTGACACTGTTAACAGCATCAATACAATTAATACTTTTGTTTGGGTTGTGCTAGTACTTTTTAACAAATAATTTTTAAAACGTGTTTTCAGACCCTGCATAATTTCTATTTAGTGATTTTGCTGTGAAAGTTCTCAGTCACCCTGGTCAGTTAATCCAAAGACGAAGACTTTTTGTCTCTGACCCTAGAGGTCAGAGATGTCTGAGGTTCTTACCTAGAAAGGTGCAAACATGGTCAAGACACCTCAGCCAAAACCATTGTACTGCATTTACAGTTCTTAGAATGACGTTACCTGGAGGACCGAGGACTTACACACACATCCTGACCTAGCTGTAACTTAACACCTGCAAATAGGTTGGGTGTGTGTATTGTTTGTCACAACGACACTCTATTCCAGTATTTGAATTTAACTGTCTGCTTAGTCATCAAATTCTAGATTTTTTAGGGTTTCAAGGAATATAAATTTATGCCCCTTGTCGTCAGATCCAGACCCTCCTCTTATCTTTGGAATTTTCTAGCAGCTCCCAAAAGTGATTGATTGCATGACTCTCTGCACAACAACTAACACAAAAGGAGATTATTTCTATAGTACAGTCGCACGATACAAAAACTGACATCTTTACAATATCTGAGGTCAAGAAAAAAAACCTGTCCTAAGTCAACTTATTTGTACAGTTGAAATTCCCAAAACACATACCCCATAATTAGACGTAATGGCGAGAAGTTGATGAAGGTGTGTAAAATCAATATCATGTTGGTTTTACAATATCACTACAAAACAGAGCAGAATCTTTTGAACAAATGTCCAATGTAAGGTGGTTGATATATGGCTCCTTGTGCAGTGAGCGGCACAGTGGCGTGGATACACAGTAACACTAGGACATTTATCTGGAGTGTGTGTGTATAACACTGTATATTTCCCATTGTCCTCTCTGCCCTCTGTGCCTGGCAGCAGCTGCTCTGTCCTACACGTCTTCAGTCTGCCGGTGAGCAATTGCATGCTGTCTTGATGCATGTTAGTGTGAAATGACGGAGACTTAAGGCTGCACTGGCTTAGATGTTTATGTGCTAAGTTTGTTTTATAAGGCTAAATTACGTCGAGTGGCTTCGATCCAGAGGAGCCTATTGCCTGCTTAAATTACGGTACGTTTACCACTGTCATCCCTAATGGATCTGTGGTATAAAACACTGTCATCAGTATGAAGAATCTCCATTTACAGCATGTGAATTCTCCTTAAAGACGCAGTAAATCTTCTTTACTACTGAAGACTGAATACAAGCCAGCAGTAAATCAGCAGGTGGTTCACTTGTATTGACTAATACATCTAACTGTCAAATCACTCTCCCCAGTTTCACCTCTCTGAACTACTAGATCAGTACTTTAGTTTTTGGTGTGTTTCTTTTTAGCCTACTAGTGTGAGGTACAAGCACTGACTTTGAATACAGCTGACTTGGCTCTGCACTGGTTGTACGGAGGAGCAGCAGGAAATAGACAAATGTTCAGTGGAAACACGACTGCCAGGTTTTTTTCTATTTAAAGCCCGACAGGGATTTTAAAAAAGAATAACTGCTTGGAATTGTCTTTAAACGGCTGCCTGATTATTCTGAAAACCCGAGACTCAGTTTTCAAAGAAACCAGTTTGTTTGACAAGGTTTGACAACAGATCAACCAATAAAACTTCTTGTTTGAACTGGAGTCCATATTTCATGTGTATTTTTCCATAGTGTGAGAATGCAGAAAATATTATGGTTCTAAAGAAAAAGGCTAGTAGAAATGTGAGACAATATACAGAGACAAAATACTGTAAGGTTTTAACAGTTCAGGCTATGTTGGTTACCAGTTAGCAGAATAATATGCACCGTATATCCAATAATTCTACTGTACATCTAATGCAGGCATGAGCAAACTAAGGCCCGGGGGCCGGATGCGGCCCTTCTAGCTTTTTAATCCAACTCGCCAAACCTTTCCAAATTCCATCCATCCATCCATCCATCCATCCATCCATCCATCCATTTTCATCCATTTATCAGTTACCAGGTCGCTGGGGCAGCAGTCTCCATGACCACCACCCAA